GGGGGGATACAACAGGGAGGAGAATGTGGCAAAAAGCTTCCTAGGGTTAGAGGCAGATGCTTGGAATTTAGAGTGGTAGAAAGTGGCTTTAACAGCAGAAACAGAGGAAGAAAATGTAGAGAGGAGGGAGTAAAAAGATGCCAGGTCCGCAGGGAGTCTAGTTTTCCTCCATTTCCGCTCGGCTGCCCGGAGCCCTGTTCTGTGAGCTCGCAATGAGTCGTCAAGCCACGGAGCAGGAGGGGAGGACCGAGCCGGTCGGGAGGATAGGGGACATAGTGAGTCAAAGGATGCAGAAAGGGAGGAGAGGAGGGTTGAGGAGGCATAATCAGGAGATTGGAGGGAGAAGGATTGAGCAGAGGGAAGAGATGATACGATGGAAGAGGAGAGAATAGCGGGAGAGAGAGAGCGAAGGTTGCGACGGCGCATTACCATCTGAGTAGGGGCAGAGTGAGTAGTGTTGGAGGAGAGCGAGAGAGAAAAGGATACAAAGTAGTGGTCGGAGACATGGAGGGGAGTTGCAGTGAGATTAGTAGAAGAACAGCATCTAGTAAAGATGAGGTCAAGCGTATTGCCTGCCTTGTGAGTAGGGGGGGACGGTGAGAGGGTGAGGTCAAAAGAGGAGAGGAGTGGAAAGAAGGAGGCAGAGAGAAATGCATCAAAGGTAGACGTAGAGAGGTTAAAGTCACCCAGAACTGTGAGGGGTGAGCCATCCTCAGGAAAGGAACTTATCAAGGTGTCAAGCTCATTGATGAACTCTCCAAGGGAACCTGGAGGGCAATAAATGATAAGGATGTTAAGCTTGAATGGGCTAGTGACTGTGACAGCATGGAATTCAAATTAGGAGATAGACAGATGGGTCAGGGGAAAAAGAGAGAATGTCCACTTGGGAGAGATGAGGATTCCTGTGCCACCACCCCGCTCTCGAACACACGGTCAGACGAGTAGAGAGCAGTAGGAGTAGCAGTATTTTCAGTGGTAATCCATGTTTCCGTCAGCGCCATGAAGTCGAGGGACTGGAGGGTAGCATAGGCTGAGATTAACTCTGCCTTGTTGGCCGCAGAACGGCAGTTCCAGAGGCTGCCAGAGACCTGGAACTCCACGTGGGTCGTGCGCGCAGGGACCACCAGGTTAGAGAGGCAGCAACCTGCCCTGGACCATGACAGTGCCGTTCTGGTACACTTTTACTGTCAGAAAGCTGTTTTCCTGGTCCTTTTCGCTGTCCTCAAAAATGTGTATTTTGCCTTCTGTTGCAGATGCCTTTCTTTGTTGTATAGCTGAAATGCCTGGTTACAGCTGTATGCCAGGCAGTAGTGTGGTCTGTGTGAAATAACAGGTGTGTAACAGTCCTGTTGTGTGAGCAGTCGGCAAACAAAGTTTCCGGGTTCTCCCTCTGAATTCTGTGTTTAAAATTGATTCTTCCTGCGGGAAATTCAAAAAAAGGGGGGGAAAGTCTCTCAGTCTAGCTGCTGCTGCTAGTGCTGCTAGCACTGCCTCAGTGGTCATGTTGCTATGGTTACCACCAATAAACAGTTGGAGCTAACTAGTGAACTAGCTGACAAATTTGAATTTAGCTAGCTAGCACGATTAAAGCCACTCAAGGACATTCACATAAAGAAAGGGGAGAGAGGGGAAGAGAGAGAATTATAGGATAGGGGAGAGAGAGAGGGAAAAAAGAGATAGGGAGAGAGAGAGAAAATAGAGAAGGCCCCCAAGGATGAGTAGCTGCTGCTTAGCAACACAAATTTGGGCCCCCTAATAAAAAAAAGGAGTGAGGGAGAGGGGCCCCCCGAAGAAGGGAGAGGAGAGAAGAGGAGGAGAGAGAGGAGAAAGGGAAAGAGAGGAGAGAGAGAGAGAGAGAGGAAGAAGAGAAAAGAGAAGAAGAGGGGGAAATTTTACTCAGGGGAAAAGAAAGGAGTGCCCCCAAAAACTTTTACAAAAGGGGGTTTAAGGGGGAAAGGCCGGTGATTGTAAAAAATGGTAACCCCATCCACAAAGCAGTAAAGAGATGATGAAAGCCCCAAAAGGATATTAAAATGAGGGAGGAAGAGAGAGAGAAAAGAGAGAGAAAAGAGAAAGGAGAGGGGGAGAAAAAGGAGAACCAGGATGAGTAGCTGCGGCATTACAACAAAATGGGGACCCTAATAAAAAAAATTTAAAAGAGTAAGAGAGGAGAGAGAGAGAGAACGAGAGAGAAGAAAGGAAGAACAGTGGGAAGCCCAAAGCCACGGGAGAGAGAGAAGAGAGAGAGAAGGGGGTAGGGGAGAGAGAGAGAGAAGGAGAAAGACTCGGGGGAGACAGAAAGGAGTGCCCCCAAACTTTTAACACAGGGGGTTTAAGGTGAAACTGGTGGTGTAAAAAACGGGTTCATCCATCCACAAAAAGCAGTAAAAATATGAAAGCCCTAAAGGAAACTTCACATGAGAGAAAAGAAAGAGAGGAAAAGAAAGAGAAAGAGAGAGAGAGAGAAGAAAAAGCGGGGAGAGACCCCGGGAAATTAGTTTAAAAATTGAGAACGTTTTGGGGCCCTATAAAATAATAGGGTGAAAAAGGGGGGAGGGGACAAGAGAGAGAAAAGGGGAGAAGGGGGGGGGGGAAGGAGAGAGAGGGGAGAGAGAGAGGGGAAGAGAGAGAGAGAGAGAAGAGAAAAGGGGAGGGGAGAAGAGAGAAGAGAGAGAGAGAGAGGGGAAATGACTCAAAGGAAAAAAAGGGATTTGCCCCATAACGTTACACAGGGGGTTAAGGGGAAAGGAGGGGTGGGGTGTAAAAAACTTTTAATCCTCCACAAAAAGAAAGAAAAGAAGAAAATAAAACCCAAATTTCAAGGAAACTTTTCACGGGAAAAAGGGGAGAGAGAGAGAGAGAGAAAAGAGAGAGAAAGAGAGAGAAGAGAAAAGAGAGAGAGAGGGGAAAGGGAAAGGGAGAGAGAGAGAACTCTGAGGAACAAAAGGAGTGCCCCATAAGGGTTAAAACGGGTTTTTTAAGGTGAAAGGACGGGTTTTATTTGTAAAAAACTGGCCCCAATCCACAAAAAGCATTAAAGAAATGATAAAAACCACTCAAGGGCAAAAGGAGAGGAGAGAGAGGAAAGAGAGAGAGAAGAGAAAGAGAGAGAGAGAGAGGGGAGAAGAGAGGGAAGAGAGAGAAAAAAGGGGAGAAAAGAGAGGAGGAGAAGACCCCAGGATAAGTATTTTCCCCTTTAAAGAAAAACAGCAAGGGGGGACCCTAATAAAAATATAGAGTGAGAGCGAGAGAGAGACAGCCAGAGGGAGAGACAAATACAGAGAGAGAGAGAGGAGGAGAGAGAGAGAGAGAGAGAGAGAGAGAGAGAGAGACCCCAGGATGAGTAGCTGCTGCATTAGGAACAGCTAATGGGGACCCTAATAAAATAAGAGAGTGTGAGGGAGAGAGAGAGAGAGAGAGAGAGAGAGAGAGAGACAAAGACAGATAGAGAATAGAAGTCAATGGTTGCGTGGTTGGTCCATACCTGAGTGTAGCGATAGCATCCCCTCCAGGCTACCTAGGGAAAGTGCATTGTGTGCGGACTGCGGGTGAGAATTGCTGAGCAGGTCCGTTGAGGCGAAGGAGCGGCGGATTCCCAAACTCCAATGGTGCGACTCTATTTGATCAAAGAGAACCGAGAGAGATCGAAGGAATCATCAAATGAATAATGTTGGTAACCGGTTAGCTATCAGTCATCTTCCTATCAATAGGCTAGTTTACAAGTAAGCCTATCAAGGCCTGGATGCCAAGGTATGCACTTGATGGAGATTAAATATTATCACAGATTATCAGAATATTATTGGACCTATAAAATACAAATTCGTACCAATGAGATGATAGTGATTTATGGTCTGGAAAGCGCGTCTCTTGAGCACCTGTCGAGCCTTGTCGCTGGCCTGTCTCAACTCCCGATAGATGGCGGGGCATTTTGATTGATCCTATATTCTATTCCCTTTATCTCTCAGAAGATACTCGAAGGATAGAGAAGAAAGGGAAACCGGATCTACAAATCTATAAAATAGACTTCTGAATGTATATGTTATCACAAGACCGGGAACTTAACTTCACGATGCTATGTGATTTCATAATGTAACTTCGACGCAAATGTGAGCTCACCGAATAATTAAATCATAAAACAAGGCATGACGTTGCCTAGATCAACTTTATCAGTTAAATAAAACGTACAAAACGTTTGACCACTAGATGGACCTGTTTTATAAGTAAATAACCACTTTACCGTCCCTATAATAAGTGATTGGTTCACAGTGACATTCATCTAATATATCTAAACCATAGGCTATCATTGTGTATAAAAAATATATACTACAACAGCATGTCAGTAGTTTTACCATAATTTTACAATTGCAGCGAGTTACTGCTGAAATTATTATTTTGCTTGTCATCAGTATCACAGGTGTTTCTGGGTCACAGTTTCGCTGCTGCATGTGTACGTGACGTCCATTTCCTGCCTGTGCTGTCCAAGGTGCTGCATTCCAGATTATGGTTAACCAACACGGTGATGCGAGACGTCAAACTGAGCTGTGCTCACTGCTCTCATCCTGTGTAAAGGTTAAGTAATTTATTTGAGAATAGGCTACAGAACCCAAGGTATTTTTTTTTTTTACTAGGCAAATTAGGCTATTGGATATTGGACCAGACAATTCAATGTTGGACAATACTGCTTTACAAATGTGTCACTCCTGTCCTGATACAGGCATATAATTTTTTTTGCCACTGAAACAGGAAGTTTAACGGCTGCTGCACGCGCATGTTCTCTTTATTTCGGCTCTCTAGAGACACACTCAGTCGCCTCACCCAGACACTCACTGATATTGTTACAGATATATCAGCGCTATGGAGGTATTCAAGGACGCAGTTGATTACCTTGAGACACAGCATATCCCAGGCAAGTACATTACTGTGTGTCTTGCCAAAAGTATGTGTTTGTATGCATGTTTTCTTTCTGTGTAAATTATGTGTGTGTTTCTACTGTATCTCAGTGGAGGCTGTTGGTGGGACAGGTCCTGATCCACTGGAGGAAGATGTGTTCCCAGAGGAGGAGGTGTTCTCCCCCCTCCAGACAGACAGCATGGACCTGCCCGACACCCCTGTGAGTTATTGCACAATGGTGCCTTCCTCTCCTATCAATCAAACCTGCACACACACACACACACACACACACACACACTTACAGCAGAGTGTTTTCTCTGTCTTTAAGGTCCTGCGTACCCTTGAAGATATGCTGGATAGAAGGCTCATGGTCCTGAGAACGATCCTGGACAGTGAGAAGATCTACCTCAATGAGCTGGAGACACTGTTAATGGTAACACACACACACACACTGCTCAGGGTCTTTTGTGTGTTTATTCATTTATAAGTGTCCTTAAGCATGCGGTTATGTATTGTGCCATACAGCATCATTTGCAATAACAATTACAACACACGTTTTTACCCGCTCTGGTGTCGGGTGGCATGCTGCTTCCTCCTGTAGCCACGACACTTCTGTAATTCTTTGTTGAGAGAATGGCTTCCCTCTTTTGTTCAGGGCTTGATTTCATTATGAAAACCATGCTCCCTTCCCTCTCTAACTGTTGTCTCCACCTCGCAGACCTGAAAGGGATAAGGTGTAATATACAGTGCATTCAGAAACTATTCAGACCCCTTGACTTTAAAAAAAAAACATTACAGCCTTATTCTACACACAATTGCCCATAGTGACCAAGCAAAAACAGATTTGTATAAATTTGTGCACATTTATTAAAAACAAAAAACAGAAATATTACATTTACATAAGTATTCAGACACTTTACTCGGTACTTTGTTGACACACCTTTGGCAGCGATTACAGCCTTGAATCTTCTTGGGTATGACACTACGAGCTTGGCACACCTGTTTTTGGGGAGTTTCTCCCATTCTTCTCTGCAGATCCTCTCAAGCCCTGTCAGGTTGGATGGGGAGCGTGGCTGCACAGCTATTTTCAGGTCTCTCCAGAGATGTTCGACCGGGTTCAAGTCCGGGCTCTGGCTGGGCCACTCAAGGACATTCAGAGACTTGTCTCTGAACTCAACTCCTGCGTTGTCTTGGCTGTGTGCTTAGGGTCGTTGTCCTGTTGGAAGGTGAACCTTCACCCCAGTCTGAGGTCCTGAGCGCTCTGGAGACGGTTTTCATCAAGGATCTCTCTGTACTTTGCTCCGTTCATCTTTCCTTCGATCCTGACTAGTTTCCCAGTCCCTGCCGCTGAAAAACATCCCCACAGCATGATGCTGCCACTACCATGCTTCACCGTAGGGATGGTGCCAGGTTTCCTCCAGACATGATGCTTGGCATTCAGCCCAAAGAGTTCAATCTTGGTTTCATCAGATGAGAGAATCTTATTTCTAATGGTCTGAGAGTCCTTTAAGGGCCTTTTAGTAAACTCCAAGCGGACTGTCATGCCTTTTACCCGAGGAGTGGCTTCCGTCTGGCCACTCTACCATAAAGGCCTGATTGGTGGAGTGCTGCAGAGATGGTTGTCCTTCTGGAAGGTTCTCCCATCTCTACAGAGGAATTCTTGAGTTCTGTCAGTGACCATCAGGTTCTTGGTCACCTCTCTGGCCAAGGCCCTTCTCCCCCGATTGCTCAGTTTGTCCGGGCGGCCAGCTCTAGGAAGAGTCTTGGTGGTTCCAAACTTCTTCCATTTAAGAATGATGGAGGCCACTGTGTTCTTGGGGACCTTCAATGCTGCAGACATTTTTTGGTACCCTTCCCCAGATCTGTGCCTCGACACAATCCTGTCTCGGAGCTCTACGGACAATTCCTTCGACTTCATGGCTTGGTTGTTGCTCTGACATGCACTGTCAACTGTGGGACCTTATATAGACAGGTGTGTGCCTTTCCAAATCATGTCCAATCAATTGAATGTACCGCAGGTGGACTCCAATCAAGTTGTGGAAACATCTCAAAGATGATCAATGGAAACAGGATGCACCTGAGCTCAATTTCAAGTCTCATAGCAAAGTGTCTGAATAGTTAAATGTTTTATAGACTAGCAACAATGTCTAAAAAACTGTTTTCACTTTGTTATTATGGGGTATTGTGTGTAGATTGATGAGGATTTGTATTTATTTAATACATTTGAGAATTAGGCTGTAACGTAACAAAATGTGGAGAAAGTCAAGGTGTCTGAATACTTTCCGAATGCACTGAATATGGTAGCCTATGGTGTAATATGGCTCCACCTAAGCTTCTGGAAAGGATTGTTTTCTCCATATTGCTTACACATTGCTTACACCTGGTGAACTAGGGCTGAGGGAAGTGGGTGAGGTTTTGTATTGGAATTCGACCAGAGTCCATTACAAGTAGGCATCATTATGAGTGAGTGTGATAGGAAGTGGTTTTGCAATAACGAGTGACCAAGTCCTTTTTTATTTCTTAATTTCTCTACTCCTTTATCTCTATCTCATTATAAGATACATGCTTCTGCTTTTGTGTCAACAAGCAACACAAATAGAGAAATAACCCCCATTTGGCTTGGTATCGTAAGGCTGGTCAGACCATAGTACACCCATGTTGGAAAGTCTGGGCTGTTTCTTCAGAAGCTTGTGCTTAGTGTGACTAATCAAATCAAATCAAATCTTATTGCCACAAGCGCCGAATACAATAGGTGTAGACCTTACTGTCAAGTCCGTTACAGGAAGAGACGGACCAAGGCACAGCGTGATAAGCGTACATTTTATTTCGTACACAACACACGAACAAAACAACAAAACGATAAGTGAAGTCCTGAGGTTACACAACACAAACCTTTACGGAACAAGATCCCACAAACTAACTGGTGCCAACAGGCTGCCTAAGTATGGTCCCCAATTAGAGACAACGAGCTACAGCTGTCTCTGATTGGGAACCACCCTGGCCAACATAGATCAACACGATCTAGAACAGAAACATAGAAAACTAAACATAGAAAATCCACACCCTGGCTCAACATTTAAGAGTCCCCAGAGCCAGGGCGTGACAGTACCCCCCCCCCCAAAGGCGCGGACTGCGACCGCGCCACACAAACACAAGAGGGTAGGGGCCGGGTGGGCATTCCGCCTCGGAGGCGGATCCGGCTCCGGGCGTGACCACCACCTTTTCTCCACCTCCCCGTTGCGCCCCTGGTCTAGTCCCGCTGACTGGAGCTGGACCCGACGACGGTGGACCAAACCTTACCGGCTCCGGACCGGAGCCGCTGGCCGGAGCTGGACTGGACACCGGTGGAGCGGATTGCTCTGGCTCCGGAGTGGATCCGCTGACTGGAGTTGGACCGGACCCTGGTGGAGCGGATTGCTCTGACTCCGGAGTGGAGCAGCTAACCGGTGCCGGACCAGGCACCAGTGGAACAGGCATGGGCCGTGCCGGACTGGACACACGCACCACTGGCTTGGTGCGGGGAGCAGGAACGGGCCGGACCGGGCTGACGACGCGCACCACTGGCTTGGTGCGGGGAGCAGGAATGGGCCGGACCGGGCTGACGACACGCACCACTGGCTTGGTGCGGGGAGCAGGAACAGGCCGGACCGGGCTGGCGACGCGCACCACTGAATTGGTGCGGGGAGCAGGAACAGGCCGGACCGGGCTGGCGACGCGCACCACTGAATTGGTGCGGGGAGCAGGAACAGGCCGGACCGGGCTGGCGACGCGCACCACTGGCTTGGTGCGGGGAGCAGGAACAGGCCAGACCGGGCTGGCGACGCGCACCACTGGCTTGGTGCGAGGGGCAGGAACAGGCCAGGCTGGGCTGGCGACGTGCACCACTGGCTTGGTGCGAGGGACAGGAACAGGCCGGACCGGGCTGGTGACGCGCACCACTGGCTTGGTGCGAGGGACAGGAACAGGCCGGGCTGGACTGGGAACACGCACCACTGGCTTGGTGCGGGGAGCAGGAACAGGCCGGGCTGGACTGGGAACACGCACCACTGGCTTGGTGCGGGGAGAAGGAACAGGCCGGGCTGGACTGGGAACACGCACCACTGGCTTGGTGCGGGGAGCCGGAACGGGCCGGGCCGGACTGTGGAGGCGGACTGGAGGTCTGGAGCGGAGAGCTGACACAACCCGTCCTGGCTGAATGCCTATCTCCACACAATATGTGTGAGGCATCAGCACAGGACGTACAGGGCTGTGCACTCGTACTGGCGCTACAGCACGTGGCACTGGCGCAGGACATACGGGACCGAGGAGGCGTACTGGAGACCACGAGCGTTGAGCCGGCACACCCCGTCCTGGCTGCATGCCCATCTTAGCACGACACGTGCGTGGTGCTAGCACCGGACGTACAGGACTGTGCCGGAACACTCACGGCACAGTACGTGGCTCCGCATAACACGGAGCCTGCCCAGTATCACGCTTCCTAGCCTGAGTACGGGGAGTTGGCTCTACTCTAACTCTAGGCTCCGCCAACCACCCTTTTAGCCCCCCCCAAAAAAATTATTGGGGCTGTCTATCGGGCTTCCTCCTCGGCCGGTACCCTCTGCGTTGCCGCTGCTCCTCTCTGTAGCGCGCCTCCACAGTCTCCTCCCAAGGACGGCGATCCATTCCGGCCTGAATCTCTTCCCAAGTCCAGGATCCCTTCCCGTCCAGGATCTCCTCCCAAGTCCAGGCTGTCTGTTCCTGGACACGCTGCTTGGTCTTCTTGTGGTGGGATCTTCTGTCAAGTCCGTTAAAGGAAGAGACGGACCAAGGCGCAGCGTGATAAGCGTACATTTTATTTCGTACACAACACACAAACAAAACAACAAAACGATACGTGAAGTCCTGAGGTTACACAACACAAACTTTTACGGAACAAGATCCCACAAACTAACTGGTGCCAACAGGCTGCCTAAGTATGGTCCCCAATCAGAGACAACGAGCTACAGCTGTCTCTGATTGGGAACCACCCTGGCCAACATAGATCAACACGATCTAGAACAAAAACATAGAAAACTAAACATAGAAAATCCACACCCTGGCTCAACATTTAAGAGTCCCCAGAGCCAGGGCGTGACAATTACAGTGAAATGCTTACTTACAAGCCCTTAACCAACAACACAGTTTTTTAAAGAAATTTTTTAAATAAAGTGTTAATTAAGAAAAATAGTTAGCTGTTCAGGAGTCTTATGGCTTGGGGGTAGAAGCTGTTGAGAAGCCTTTTGGACCTAGACTTGGCGCTCCGGTACCGCTTGCTGTGCGATAGCAGAGAGAACAGTCTATGACAAGGGTGGCTTGAGTCTTTGACAATTTTTAGGGCCTTCCTCTGACACCACCTGGTATAGAGGTCCTGGATGTCTGGAAGCTTGAACCCAGTGATGTACTGGGCCGTACGCACTACCCTCTGTAGTGCCTTGCGGTCGGAGGCAGAGCAGTTGCCATACCAGGCGGTGATACAACCAGTCAGGATGCTCTCGATGGTGCAGCTGTATAACTTTTTGAGGATCTGAGGACCCATGCCAAATCTTTTCAGTCTCCTGAGGGGGAATAAGTTTTGTCGTGCCCTCTTCACGACTGTCTTGGTGTGTTTGGACCATGATAGTTTGTTGCTGATGTGGACACCAAGGAACTTGAAGCTCTCAACCTGTTCCACTACAGCCCCGTCGATGAGAATGGGGGCGTGCTCAGTCCTCTTTTTTGTCCTGTAGTCCACAATCATCTCCTTTGTCTTGATCACGTTGAGGGAGAGGTTGTTATCCTGGCACCACACGGCCAGGTTTCTGACCTCCTCCCTATAGGCTGTCTCATCGTTGTCGGTGATCAGTCCTACCACTGTTGTGTCGTCGGCAAACTTAATGATGGTGTTGGAGTCGTGCCTGGCCATGCAGTCATGGGTGAACAGGGAGTAGAGGAGGGGACTGAGCACGCACCCCTGAGGGGCCCCCGTGTTGAGGATCAGTGTGGCAGACGTGTTGTTACCTACCCTTACCACCTTTGGGCGGCCCGTCAGGAAGTCCAGGATCCAGTTGCAGAGGGAGGTGTTTAGTCCCAGGATCCTTAGCTTAGTGATGAGCTTTGAGGGCACTATGGTGTTGAACGCTGAGCTGTAGTCAATGAATAGCATTCTCATGTAGGTGTTCCTTTTGTCCAGGTGGGAAAAGGCAGTGTGGAGTGCAATAGAGATTGCATCATCAGTGGATCTGTATGACAGTGTGTAAAGCTTAGTGTGTGAGAGAGAATTTTTAGTGTGTGTGCTGTGAGAGTGAGTGTCAAAAAGGCTTTTGAGAGATACATGTGTACTGTGTGTCTATATTTACTAATGTGTGAATGTTTATAGCATGCTTGATTAAACCTCTGTATTAATCACTCTCTTCTCACCTCCCGCTTTCTCAAAAAATTTCTCACACCCACTCTCTGTGTCTCTCTGTCTCTCCCCCCCCCCCCATCCCCTCCCTCACCTCCTTCCTCTCCCAGCCTATGAAGGCTCTGAAGGCCACAGCAGGGACGTCTCAGCCGGTTCTATCCGGCCAGCAGGTCCAGATTGTGTTCTACCAGGTGCCTGAGCTCAGAGACCTGCACAGAGACTTCTACAGTGGCCTGAGGGACCGCCTGGTGCCGCTGGGGCCACAAACACACCCAGAGACAGACCCGGGGCCGGGGCCGGGGAAAGAGCAGGGCCAAATGGGCTTCCACCTAACTGTTGGAGACCTCTTCCTCAAGATTGTGAGTTACTCCTCCTGCTCCATCCATCCATCCTTTTATTGATCCACTATCAGCTACAGGTGTCTTATTTCGCACCTATTCTCACACACACAGGTGAGCCAGCTAGGTGTGTATCGTGGTTTCATAGATAACTATGAGAGTGCTGTGAAGATCGTGAGGAGCTGTACTCAGACTGACCAGCGCTTCAGAATACTGGCTGAGGTAAGCTTCAAAATACTGGCTGAGGTAAGCTTCAGAATACTGGCCGATGTAAGCTTCAGAATACTGGCCGATGTAAGCTTCAGAGTACTGGCCGATGTAAGCTTCAGAATTCTGGGCGATGTAAGCTTCAGAATACTGGGCGATGTAAGCTTTAGAATACTGGACGTTGTAAGCTTCAGAATACTGGGCGATGTAAACTTCAGAATACTGGCCGATGTAAGCTTCAGAATTTTGGGTGATGTAAGCTTCAGAATACTGGGCGATGTAAGCTTTAGAATACTGGACGACGTAAGCTTCAGAATACTGTGCGATGTAAACTTCAGAATACTGGCCGATGTAAGCTTCAGAGTACTGGCCGATGTAAGCTTCAGAGTACTGGCCGATGTAAGCTTCAGAATACTGGGCGATGTAAGCTTCAGAATACTGGCCGATGTAAGCTTCAGAGTACTGGCCGATGTAAGCTTCAGAATACTGGCCGATGTAAGCTTCAGAATACTGGCCGAGGTAAGCTTCAGAATACTGGCTGATGTAAGCTTCAGAATACTGGCCGAGGTAAGCTTCAGAATACTGGCCGAGGTAAGCTTCAGTATACTGGCTGATGTAAGCAGAGTACTGGCCGAGGTAAGCTTCAGAATACTGGCCGATGTAAGCTTCAGAATACTGGCCGATGTAAGCTTCAGAATACTGGCCGAGGTAAGCTTCAGAATACTGGCCGATGTAAGCTTCAGAATACTGGCCGATGTAAGCTTCAGAATACTGGCCGATGTAAGCTTCAGAATACTAGCTGAGGTAAGAGAGACAGACATTACTGATTTGGAAATGTGTTCATTGCAACATATTTCTCTCTCTCTCTGTCTCTATGCACTTGTTATTAAGAACAAAACACATGAATTATTAGCAAATTCATAGTTGAAGTTTTGCAATATTTCAACTTTCTCACACTCTCGCTCTCTCCTGTTTTCAGAGTATGATGTCTTGTAATGGATCAGACAAATCTAAGACTAAATACACCTTTGAGGGTAAGATGAAGGTTTTACGTGTTGTTAAAGAGTCACTGTATGTCCCTCCACCCTCCACTGTATGAATCACATGTTGGATGTCTGTCTATCTCCCTCCAGCTCTCCTGTACAAGCCTCTGGACCGAGTCACCAAGACAACCCTAGTGCTGCACGTAAGAGTGTCCCCCCATCCGTCCATCCATTCATTTATCTGTACACCTAACCACCGACACTCATCTATACACTTACCACTCTCTCTGCTGTCTTCCTCTCCTTCCCACTTTCTCTTTTCTCCATCCTCCCTCTCTCATCTCCTGTATAGGACCTGCTGAAGCACACTCCCCAGATGCATAGTGATCACCACGTGCTGCAGGAGGCTCTGAGACTGTCCCGGAGCTTCCTGTCTGGGGTCAACGAGGGGTCACAGTGCAAACAAGAGGTCACCCTCAGCAGGGGCATGGTGAGAGGGACAGAGACGACGCACACACACACAGACATACATCCACACACTTGCACACACACCTACGATGCACATTGCACACACCCTTATGATGCACACACACGGACACATGCACCCAACAACCACGACACACCCTCAAACAGTCTCATCACCATATCATAACCATCGCTGTATGTGTGTGTTGCAGCGGCGTCAGCTGATGCGTGACGGCTTCGTGGTGGATGTGTGTGAGGGGGGGCGTAACCTTTGCCATCTCTTCCTATACACTGACCTGCTGCTGTGCACCAAACTCAAGGGCGGGGCCCAAGGGTGAGTTGAAGTTTATGAAGAGACTTTCTTCAAAACAAATCACACATTGTGTGTCCTTTCTCCCAGTAAGCAGGCCCAGTACAGGTTCTGTTGGTACCTGCCTCTAGCTGGACTGAAACTCCACTGGGGACCAGAGATGGAGCGCACCACAGACACATACCAGCGCATACACTCCATGAGAGCTAAGATGTACCTGCTCAGACATGAACTTCGACAGACCATGGTGAGTCTTTATGTATGTGTGTGTGTGTGTGTGTGTGTGTGTGTGTGTATTATCCAATAGAACCATTACTCTGTAAAGTAATCAGATGTAAAATATGAACTTTGTGTGTGTGTCCTACAGAAGCCTGTCCCACAGAAGTCCTTGGCAGCTCGTACTATAGAGCGAGGCAGGAAGAAGATGGAGCAGCTTGAACGGATGTTTCTCACACACTCTCCCTTCCTCCCCCTGGAACTACACAGCCCCAGCGCCAAGGTACACACGCACGCACGCACACACGCGCACACACGCACGCATGCACACGCACACACACACGCGCGCACACACGCACGCACACGCATACACACGCACACACGCACACACACACTTACACACACACTTACACACACACACACACACACACACACACACACACACACACACACACACACACACACACACACACACACACACACACACACACACACTCACACACACACACACTCACACTCACACACACACACACACACATACACACACACCATATGTTTTACACACACGTTTGTTTTACTATCCTTGTGGGAACCAAACAATTGATTCCCATTCAAAATACTATTTTCTCTAACCCCTAACCCTAAATCTAACCCTAGCCTTAACCCTAACCTTAAAATTAACCCCAAACCCTTAACCCTAACCCTAACCATAAACTTAACCCCCAACCCTAATTCTAACCCTAATTCTAACCTTTCCTTGTGGGGGACCAGCGAAATGTCCCCACTTGTCGGAATGTTCCTTCTTTTACTATCCTTGTGAGAACTCCTGGTCCCCACAAGGATAGTAAAACCAAAAAGACACACATACACACACACCTAAACCCTCATACACATACATCCCCTCTGTGTGTGTTCTGTTTCAGAGCCACACTCTGGTGATGTCATCTCTGTATGAACTGGAGGAGTGGAGAGAGGCCATCCACAGACTCACCGGAGATAGTGAGTGAGAGGGGAGTGTGTGTGAGTGTAGGTGTGTGAGTGAGTGAATGAGTGAGTGAGTGAGTGAGTGAGTGAGTGAGTGAGTGAGTGAGTGAGTGAGTGAGTGAGTGAGTGAGTGAGTGAGTGAGTGAGTGAGTGAGTGAGTGAGTGAGTGAGTGAGGGAGGGAGTAAGTGAGTGAGTGAGTGAGTGAGTGAGTGAGTGATGAGTGAGTGAGTGAGGGAGTGAGTGAGTGTAAGTGGTGAGTGAGTGAGTGGTAGGGTGAGTGAGTGGTGAGGGAGTGGTGATTGAGTGAGTGGTGAGGTGAGTGAGTGTAGTGAGTGAGTGAGTGAGTGAGTGAGTGTAGTGAGTAGTGTAGTGTAGTGAGTGAGTGAGTGAGTGAGTGCGTGAGTGGAGTGACGTGGTGAGTACGTGAGTGTGTGAATGAGTGAGTGAGTGAGTGAGTGAATTAATGAATTAATGAATGAATGAATGAGTGAGTGAGTGTGTAAGTGTGAGTGAGTGTGTTTGTGAGTGAATGAGTGAGTGAGTGAGTGAGTGAGTGAGTGAGTGTGTGAGTGTGTGAGTGAATGAGTGAGATTGTGTGTGAGTGAATTAGTTAATGAGTGAGTGAGGAAGTGAGTGAGTGAGGAGTGTATGAGTGAGTGTGTGAGTGAGTAAATGAGTGAGTGAGTGAGTGAGTGAGTGAGTGAGTGAGTGAGTGAGTGAGTGAGTGAGTGAGTGAGTGAATGAATGAGTGTGTGAGTGAATGAGTGTGTACTGTATGTAAGTGAGTTAATGAGTGAATTAGTTAATGAGACAGTACATCAATGGTTGTAGTTTGTTGCACAGTACGTCATTCAAGTGGTCTATGATGTGTGTGTGTGTGTGTGTGTGTGTGTGTGTGTGTGTGTGTTATTTCTCAGACATAGAAACGGTTCCTCCAGATCTGCTCACCCTGACCAGCTCCTGTGTCAAACTGAGAATGACCCAACAGCCTCCCGTACACAGTATACTGCCTGGTGAGACATCGTTTCACACACACCTTTCTCACGCTCACTTCCGTTCACTTTGTCTCTTTATCTACCATACTCTACATTTCACCCTCTCTCTCTCGCTCTCTCTCTCTCTCTCTCATGAAGTGCAATTGGTTCAATGACACATTCAATTAGTTTTAGCCAAATTTGTATAGGTATTTCAATTTGAATTTGTTTTTTAATGGCGTAGAATGCCCTGCGTGCTTTCTCTCTCAGTTCATTCACTGCCTCATTTAGGTGTCCAGTTGAGCTTACTTTTAAACCTAAGTAATTGTAGTGTGTGCAGTACTCTATATATTTTGTACCAATTGAGAACTTTGCTCTAATTCCTGAGATTTGGATCTTCTCTGGAAAATCATTATTTTTGTATTTTGGGGGTTTACTGCCAGGGCCCAGGTCTGGCAGTACTGTTCTAGCAGGTCCAGGCTCTGCTGTAGGCCATGTGCTGTGGGTGACAGCAGGCACAGGTCATCTGCGAAGGGCTGGCCTTTAACCTCTGAATTGTGGAGACTAACACCAGGGGCTGAGGATTTTTCTAGAATAGTGGCCAATTCGTTGATGTAAATATTGAAGAGTGCAGGGCTCAGATTGCAACCCTGGCGAAGGCCCCACCCGTGGTTAAATAATTATGTTATTTTGATGCTGCACATAAATCAAATTGATTTAATTACGTCATATGTTTTACCCCCTACACCACTTTCAATAACTTTGTAGAACAGTCCTGTATGCCAAATAGAATCAAATGCTTTTTGGAAGTCGATAAAGCAAGCGTACGTTTTGGTATAGTTTTGGTGGACATGTTTATCTATCAGGGTGTGTAGGGTGTAGATATGATCGGTCGTGCGATGTTTTGGTATAAATCAAATTTGGCTTTTACTCTAGACATTGTGCTTATTAAGGAAGTTTAGAACTCTTACATTTATAATACTACAGAAAATCTTCCGCAGGTTATTGTTCACAAAATGCCTCTGTAATTGTTAGGGTCAAATTTGTCTCCGTTCTTAAATATTGGGGTTATGAGTCCTTGATTCCAGATGTCAGGGAAATAACCTACACTCAGGATCAAATTAAAGTTTTAATATAGCCAATTGAAATTTTGCACTAGTGAATTGGGCATCTGATTTAGGATGCCATCAGGTCTGCATGCTTTTTTAAATTTGAGGGCCTGAAGTTTCTTATAGAGCTCCTGGTCAGTAATTGGGGAGTCCAATGGATTTTGATTGTCCTTTCTAGCTTTTTCTAATCCATTCAACTTCTCATGAATTTGGCATTGTTCTGCATTTGCATCAATTTGAATGGTGTTGTAGTGTTTTAAAATGGGTTTTCCATATCTCACCATTTTGTATCATTAATTCCTCTAGTTTCATTTTATTTTTTTAGGTTTTTCCAATTTTGCCAGAAGTTGTTTGTGATATGGACTCCTCAATTAGTGTCATCTGCTTGCTTTTGTACTGTGCTTTTTTGGTTCTGAGTGTACGTTTATAGAGTTTTAAAGTATCACAGTCATGAAGGCATAATTCACCATTATTTGGGTCTCTGTGCTTTTGGTTTGATAGTGTTCTAATTTTTTTTCTTATAATTTTACAATCTGCATCAAACCAGTTGTCATCTGTGGTCTTTTTTGATTAGTTTTTTATCGATTTCAGTTGTGTTTCTTTTGCCATTTGCCTGAATATATTGTTGATTTTTTTTACTGCTAGATTGATGCCTTCTTTACTGTGAGTGGATGTGGTATCCAGAAAGTTATCTAAGAGTGTTTGGATTTTTTGGTTACTTGTTGCTTTCTGTTATTCTTCTGTGCTGTTTTGGGCCCATCTGTTCTTCTTCTGATTTTGTACAGCTTACTGGGCTGTGAATGTGTGGTTGTTTCCATGTCTGTTCTTTTGAGGAACAAGGTCATTTGGCTGTGATCAGACAGAGGTGTTAGTGGCTTGACGGTGAATGAGCTGAGAGAGAAAGGTCAATGTCTGTAATCATGTAGTCTACTGTGCTGTGGCCAAGAGGTGAGCAATAGGTGAATCTCCCCAAAGAGTACACCCAAAACCAACCATTGACAAAGTACAGACCCAGGCTTCGACAGAGCTACAACAGATCCCTTCCCTTTTTGTTGATGGTGCTGTCACTGTTGTTTCTATGGGGGAGATTAAGACAGTTATAAACAGTAAGGCCTGTAATAAAGTTGTCCCCTTGTGTGCTCGTTAGATCAGGTAGTGTTCCTGTGCGCACATTTGTGTCCCCAGAGATGAGTACATTGCCATGGGCCTGGAAATGGCACGTCTCTTCGTCAAGGGTGGGGAATATCTCCTCTGAGTAACATGGGGATTCTGAGGGGGGGACATATATTGCGCAATGGAACACATCCAGTTTTAACCAAATGTGATATTTACACATTTTGAGGGGATCAATTCGATTTTGTAGTTCGGATTTGTACCAAATGATCAATCCTTCAGAGTCTCTGCCTTTATTGACAGAGCTGTGTTTCTGTGACGGCACAATTACCTCTCTGTAGCCTGAGGGAGAGTGAGTGACAATGTCTGCCTTGCACCATGTCTCCTGCAGAATGATGACGTCAACATCTTGAAGATTTATTTTTAAACTCCAGTGCTAAACTCTTCAGTCTGTTCTCTATGCTGCAGCACCCTTTTGATGACATACAACTCCTTTGCCATCTCTTCCTTTACTTGCACTAGCTCTCTCCTCATGGTGGCCTTTACCTCCTCAAGCGCTGTGGTGAGGCTCTCTCTCAGCTCCTGGACAGAGTTCTTCAGCTGGGTCCTGCACTGGTTGATCTGGTCCTGTAGAAGCTATGTGTCTGGGCTGGAGGTGGTGTAGCTGGGTGGGCTGCTCCTTTAGCTCAGTAACCCATACCTCTAACAGAGCCAGCCTGTCTCTCAGCAGGCTGATGGTGGTGTGATCATGGCTCTGGTGGTCATAGGCAGGCAGGGGGGAGGACAGACCTGTGGATCTGGGCCTGGGCTCCTGCTGTTGGAGTGCCTGAGGTGAGGGGAGAGGTCGGGGTGCTGTCCTTGTCCTTTTTGGTTTCTGCTATTGTCCCCAAGGTGGGGAAGTCCTGCACAAAAGAGCTGAGTGCAGCGTCACTGCCCTGGACCATGACAGTGCCGTTCTGGTACACGTTTACTGTCAGAAAGCTGTTTTCCTGGTCCTTTTCGCTGTCCTCAAAAATGTGTATTTTGCCTTCTGTTGCAGATGCCTTTCTTTGTTGTATAGCTGAAATGCCTGGTTACAGCTGTATGCCAGGCAGTAGTGTGGTCTGTGTGAAATAACAGGTTTGTAACAGTCCTGTTGTGTGAGCAGTCGGCAAACAACGTTTCCGGGTTCTCCCTCTGAATTCTGTGTTTAAAATTGATTCTTCCTGCTGGAAATTCAAAAAAAGGGGGGGAAAGTCTCTCAGTCTAGCTGCTGCTGCTAGTGCTGCTAGCACTGCCTCAGTGGCCATGTTGCTATGGTTACCACCAATAAACAGTTGGAGCTAACTAGTGAACTAGCTGACAAATTTGAATTTAGCTAGCTAGCACGATTAAGATTGCACTTTTAACTCACACTCTGTCAATGTTTTCCTCCTGTGTTGATCTTCAGTTGTACAATTTGATTACCTATATATTTTTTGCTTATTTAATTTTGTTAATCTCACTCTTAACAACCAGAAAGTTATAACAAGTCAGGAGCTTCTGCATGACTGCCTCGCTCTCGCTCTCGCTCTCTCTCTTTCTCTTTCTCTTCTCTTTCTCTTTCTCTTTCTCTTTCTCTTTCTCTTTCTCTTTCTCTTTCTCTTTCTCTCTCTCTCTCAGAAGGTGAGGAGGAATCTCTATGTGGGACTCTCAGTGTAGCCGTTCACTCTGCCTGTGGATTACAACAGCCAGCCAGTGAGCATCTGCACACCATCTACCATATATCTAACACTATCCATATGCATACCACAATGTCTATATCTTACCCAGATATAGTACATACATACAGTATACTCTACCCTCAGACTCCACTGCAGCTCTTAAACAGAGTCTCACTACTCCCTCCTACTGTAGGTATGTATGTGTGTGTGGAGGTGGATGGCTTTGAGTTCTATGAGAGGCAGGCCCAGACCCATTCCTCTGTCAGCAGCTCCAGCCCTCACTGGGACCAGGTAAGATGCTGTACGCAGGCTAGCTGAATACCCGAGACCCGGTCCAGAATTCAAAATAATGTTACGGGTCTAGGTCGGATCTGATGTGGGAGGCTGCTACTTTATATTGTAAATGGAGTTGTTGTTGTTTGTAACTTTGTATGACGAGAAAGTGCATATCTCGATTAGCCTAGCTAGCTTAACTAGCTTCTCCCGGTTTGGATGATAAATAACCTAGCTATGGCAGCAATTAGTCTACTATAGCGTGAGTCGGCCTGGTTGGTTGCTGTCTCTCTCCCTCCCTCCCTCCTCCCTGCTAACTGTGTCACTTGCTACACATAACACGGCCCCTCACCTCTCTCTACCTCCTCTCCGACGTGCTTTATCAGCTCCGGGAAATAAAGTAGCTTAAAAATGGACTTTTCTGCTGCTTCCATCACTCGGATCGAACCGGGTCTGGATCCAACCAGGTCTATACGAAACAGGTCTAGCTTTCCTCAAGTCTGTTCAGAACGGATCTCTATATTTAAAAAGAAATATTTATGCATATATCGAGTCCGGGTGGGAAAGCCCCAGGGCCAACTTTTTGGACCCGTGAAGGCCTCTAACCCAGGCTAGCTCTACTGGCAGCCATTTTGAAAGTGGGAATCATTATCCTACCTAAATTGTTGTTACAGATGTAGGATCTTAATTTGGGTCAGTTTGCTACAGCAGGAATATAATCCAGCAGCAACAGGACATGTGAATTAGTATCTGGATTATAATTAATGGACATATTTGTAGGGGTTGATACAGTTTTCATAAGGGAAAATCAAGTCTAAAATGTCAAAATGGAAATTAAAAACTTCAGAAGCCTTTTTAAACCTCAAATAAACAACACGTTTTTAAATGTCCTGCATTGCATCAAAGTTCTCCCGCAACAGGTTGATCAAATTAAGATCCTACATCTGTATACCATCATGATGCTTTTCAGTGATATTTTGTCTTTTAAACTACCATTTGAATTTAGTCGTGTTACCTGTATGTCATCAATACTCCTCTTTGACAGGCTTGTGCTTGTCCTCAGGAGTTCTCATTCCAGGTGGATGGGGCTCAGAACCTCAGGGTGCTGGTTGTGTTAGAGCCAGAGGTAGGAGAGAGCTGTGAGGACCGAGTCCTTGGCAAGACCTCCATACAGGTGTGTGTCTGCATCTGTGCCTAGATGTGTGTATCAGTGTCTGTTCTCCCATGTTTAGAAGGTGTGTGTGTATGTACATACATGTGTGTTTTTATCTGTTTAAAGGTGTATACTGCGTGTCACAGGCGGCTGGTGGCACCTTAATTGGGAAGGACGGGCTCATAGTAATGGCTGGAATGGAATGGTATCGAACACATTAAACACATGGTTTCCTTGTGTTTGATACCATTCCATTCATTTCATTCCAGTCATTATTATGAGCCGTCCTCCCCTCATCAGCCTCCTGTGCTGTGTGGGTGTGTGTGTGTGTGCGTGCGCCTGTGTTCACCTGTTCATGTGTATGTTTTCTAGCTGGACCCAGCCCTCCTACAGAAGCGATGGAAGAGACAGACCGTATCTCTAGGCCAGGTGGTTGTGACTCTGTCTCTAAAGTACTGCCCTCACCCTCTAGACCCGCCCAGTCTGGCCCCCGCCCAGCAACAGCCCATCTTCTGCATGCCCATTGGAGCTGTGGCACAGTGAGTCCTGTCAATCATTACAAATAGTCCAATGAGCTTTAAGGACCTGAGATTTTGGCACACTGAGTGCATCTTAATGCTCTAAAGTGGTGGCAGGTAGCCTAGCGGTTAAGACCGTTAGGCCAGTAACCGAAAGGTGGCTGGTTCAAATCCCTGAGCCGATTAAGTAAAAAATGTCCTTGAGCAAGGCACTTAATTCTAATTGCTCCTGTAAATCGCTAAAATGTATCAAACTCATTTTGTCTTCGATGAGGTCTGGGGGGGGGCCACACTTAAAATGTGTTATATTTCCCCCTGTGGGCCTCCCGAGTGGTGCTTGAGGCGTCACTACAGACCTGGGTTCGATCCCAGGCTGTGTCACAGCCGGCCGCGACCGGGAGACCCATGAGGCGGCGCACGATTGGCCCAGCGTTGTCCGGGTTAGGGGAGGGTTTGGCCGGCCGGGATGTCCTTGTCCTATCACGCTCTAGCAACTCCTTGTGGTGGGCCGGGCGCATGCACGCTGACCTCGGTCGTCAGTTGTACGGCGTTTCCTCCGACACATTGGTGCGACTGGCTTCTGGGTTAAGCGGGCAGTGCGGCTTGGCAGGGTCCGGAGGAGGACGTATGCCTCTCCTGAGTCCTAATGGGAGTTGCAGCGATGGGACAAGACTGTAACTACCAATTGGCTATCACTAAAAAGTCAAATATATATATATATATATATATCTTTCCCCCCGTCAAAATTTGCTAAAGATAGTCCTCTATCCGTAGTTTTTTGATTACTCCCTGACTGTCTAACTTTAATTTGGGTGATTATTAGCGAGCTAGACACAGTCAAGAAACTGTATGAATGTAGGTCCATTATAATTTCTACACAGTTTCGATTTGCCTTTAGCCATTTTCAAATATATTGAATTCGTTCCTCTTTTTGTATATGTAGTTTTTTAGCAAACCACCCGCGGGCCAGATTGGACCCCCTGAAATGAATTCCTCTCCTTTTCTCATCTCTTAACTAATTTGATAAGATAATAATAATAATAATAATAATAATAATAATAATAATAATAATAATAATAATAATAGATAATGATCAATGACAATGTGGGGTCTACTTTAGTCTCCCTCTCTTGTCTGGTTAGGAAGTGAAATGAAACTACTCTGACAGACCGTAACTTCTTGTAATATAAGAATAGCAGATCTGTGGCAAGACAAGAATGGCATGAAAAGGGAAATCACACACTCTCTGCATCTCCATTTTTAGATAACTTGAAAGTAGTCATTGCCCTGTGTGTGCTTTGCATGTTTCATGTCTCTAGAATAAATTCAAATCATTCGAAACGCCATATGAACATCCAAGACAAGTTTTCTAGGATGCCGATAACATACAATGTGTGTATGTACAAACACAACCCGGAGTGTGTGTTTTGTGTGTATCCAGACAGGAGGGAGTCCTGGTGCCACATGTGGTGCGTTGCTGTGTAGAGGAGGTGGAGAGGAGAGGAATGGAGGAGGTGGGCATCTACAGGCTATCAGCAGCTACCAGTGACATCATCAACCTCAAGACTGCCTTCAACACCAGTGAGTCTGTGTGTGTTTGGTGGGACTGGAGGTGTGTAGTTCAAGTATGTTGTGGTGTAATGTCCACTCATACTCAGTATCTTACTCCGTCTATCTCACCCTTTTGCTCCCTTTCTTTCCTCTCTATCACTCTCTTCCTTATCTCCCCCTCCCTTATATCTCTCCCTCCTTTCCTCTCTCTCTCTCACTCTCTTTCTTCCTCTCTCCATCTCTCTCTTCCTCTCTCCATCTCTCTCCTTTCCTCTCGCTCTCTCTATCCCCCTCTAGATCTGCGTGAAGCAGTGTCCAGGTTGAGGTGTGTAGATGTGAATGCTGTCTCAGGTATACTGAAGCTCTACTTCAGGGAGCTACCAGAACCCCTTATACCTACAGAGCTGTTTCAGAGCTTCACCAAGGCATTGGGTAGGTCACAAATGCACACACACACACACACACGCACACGCACACACACACACAATTCTCCACCCATACCTGTGTTGTTTCTCTCTGTTAGACATCCCAGACCTGAGCGCCAGGAGTGTGTCCATGTTGTCTCTGCTCCAGTCCTGTCCCGCCGTCAACCAAAACACCTTCCTGTTCCTCCTCCACCACCTCAAACGGTCTCTCTCACCTCTTCTCAATATTTGTTATACACTAAGTATGTTACTAAATAGAATGTTATTTATATGGGGGATACAACCTTCCCAGCGCCGCAGATTTTGCTGCGAAGAGACTTCATTAGATCATTTGTTTTGGTGCTGTCCATATGTAGCTTGTTTTTGGTCACAGGACCAGGAATGGCTGAAGAATTGTAAAATGTACCTGGAGCTAACCCTGCAGATAGCACTACTGGGTGATCTGAAAAGTCATAGTCAATCGATCAATAATATAATAATACTATCACGTTTCAGGAGAAGACCCAGATGCAGACAGTGTCGAAGTAACAAAAGTTTATTACAAAAACAGGGGGCAGGCAAACGACAGGTCAAGGGCAGGCAGAGGTCAATAATCCAGATCAGAGTCCAAAAGGTACAGAACGGCAGGCAGTCTCAGGGTCAGGGCAGGCAGAATGGTCAAAACCGGAGAAGACAGGAGCAAGGGGAAACCCACTGGTAGGCTTGACGAAACAAAACAAACTGGCAACAGACAAACAGAGAACACAGGTATAGATACACTGGGGATAATGGGGAAGATGGGCGACACCTGGAGGGGGGTGGAGACAAGCACAAAGACAGGTGAAACAGATCAGGGTGTGACAAATATTTTTAGCAAAAATGTTTATTTTCAATTTACAATCTGTAGAAACAATGAGAATAGAAAGGTTCAGAACTTTTGTGAAACATCACAGCACAGTTGGAAAATATATGGCAAATAGAAATCCAATATGGACGGTGTTAAGAGATAGATGGGAGGTGTTGAATGGAGCTGAAGGTTGGGACTAATAACAACTAATAACAACAAGATAACTAATGTAAAACATACTGTGTCCGTAAAACGTATATAGGTTATAGGTTAAGAACTTTTGTGAAAGAGCACAGTTTGAAAGATATGGCAAATAGAAATCAAACCGGATGGACATCAGAAATAGATGGGAGAGGCTGAGGGTAGAGGAAGGACAGGAGTAATAAATAGAACTATTGTAAAATAGACTGTGTCCATAAAATGTATATAATATGTATAAGCTGGAAGTAGAGGCCTAAGCGTTGTTGTTCACTAGTTTACTCCAATTATGGGAGGGGTGGTAGGGCTAGAAAGTAATTAAAAATAATAAAAAATACAAGTATGTTACTAAAAACATGTTACTATTAACATATTACACGTTACTATTTACATTCGGTCATTTAGTAGACACTTTCATCACAATATTAACAAACATCATATCCATGTAATGCTCACCTCCCATTGCATACCGTTGTGGTTTTCATGTGTATTTTTGCCAATGACATCATACTCTCATACGTATCTTTGCCAATGACATCATACTCTCACCTGTTCTCCAGAGTGTCAGACAGACAGGATGTGAACAAGATGCCTCTGATGAACCTGGCCACTGTGTTTGGTCCCAGTCTACTGCGCCCCCCTGTGGCTGTTCTGGGGCAGAGCAGCCCGCCAGTGGACATCTCTCAGGAGGTGGTGGTGCAGGTTGGTCATAGCATCTCAACTGGGCCTCTGTGGAGAAATAATAATGATTACCTTTATAATAAAACATAGTGAAGATACAGCCTTTGTTCTTGTACACTGAAAAAACACTTGCTGTTTCCATGACATAGACTGACCAGGTGAATCAGGTGAAAGCTACGATCCCTTATTGATGTCACTTGTTAAATCCACTTCAACCAGTGTAGATGAAGGGGAGGAGACAGGTTAAAGAATGATTCTCAAGCCTTGAGACAATTGAGACATGGATTGTGTATGTGTGCCATTCAGAGGGTGAATGGGCAAGACAAAACATTTAAGTGCCTTTGAACATGGTATGGTAGTAGGTGCCAGACACACTGGTTTGTGTCAAGAACTGCAACTCTGCTGGGTTTTTCACACTCAACAGTTTCCTGTGTGTATCAAGAATGGTCCACCACCCAAAGGACATCCAGCCAACTTGACATAACTGTGGGAAGCATTGGAGTCAACATTGGCCAGCATCCCTGTGGAACGCTTTCGACACCTTGTAGAGTCCATGCCCGACGAATTGAGGCTGTTCTGAGGGCAAAAAGGGGTGCAACTCAATATTAGGAAGGTGTCCTTAACGTTTTGTACACTCAGTGTACTTTGACAATACATCCTTATTTCTATGGCTTTAACTAACCGAGTAATGTCAAATCAGTGATTACCTGATATTAAGGAAAGGAGGATGCATATACCATTTTTTAAAGAGGACATTAGTTGATTTCAAACACAGTCGTAGAGATTTCTGTTTCTCTGTCCCTCTATGTGTACAGGTCCAGGTTGTGTATTCCTACTTGCAGTGTGACAACCTGCCAGCAGCCCAGACCTGCATACCACATGACACAGAGACCACTGAGGAAGATTAGACCAACAACAAATGAACCAACTCCTGGAAACATCACGGTTGGCCAACAGAGACTCGGGGGAGATAGAGAGAGGACTTGTAAACTACAGACACTGTAAAGATTAAACATATTTATTTTTAAAGCTGTGGGTTGAAAGACCTGTCCTTTACTTTATATGAGGGACTAGGTCCTAGGACGTAGAGAAATGGACAGTGGATGCACATGGGAGGGTGTAAGGAGAAAGTAGATTTGGGGGAGGGTGGGTGGGATTGGGGTGTGTCTGTGTGTCAGATGTTGTTAAAATGTTGGGGGTCACCTCCCTAGCTTGAAATCTCATCAGTTATGGTTCAAATCCAACTAGACGGAGTTCACGCACACACACGCACACACACACACACACACACACACACACACACACACACACATACGCACACACACCACCACCACTGCACTCACCCCAGCTGGGGGGCCCCTTTCAGGCCCCACTCCCACACCACCTGGACAGGGTGGGCTAATGTTACCTCTCCCTCCTCAGCCTTTTCATCCCTAATCCCACCTATCCTTACCCCGGCCCCCCAACCCTTTCTCCTCCTTCTTCTCCCTCTCTCTCCCACCACGCATTCCAACAGACTGAGCATTTCGGGAAGCCCATTGCATGGTGTCAGATGTGTGTGTGTGCCTGCCTGCCATAACAACGTCCAGACTGCGCCTGGAAACAAAGAAACGCGGAACCCTCGCCCTCCCCTATGGCCCCTGGTGTCGTAAATCACCTTTCCCCACTAACCCTGCGACTGCCAAATAAGGTTCCCATTGCAAACTACAAACACATCATAGTACAATGGAGCTGGAGTCTGGAGAAGCTGTGTCTGAATAGTAGAGGAGGAAACAGACATCCATGACCAAAGGCTTCAGAGGACAGACAGGACTATATAGTATCTTTAGGGGGGAAGGGTGTGGGGGTCAAATGTACCATAGGTAAGGCTAAGGATAGGTAGAGGTGGGTTGGACAGTGCGAAGGCGAGAGTATGTTATGCATTAACCCAGAATGAATGAACAACACCTGTGTATGTCGCTTTGTTATAGTCAAAGGATATAACTGGATTATAACAGACACAGGATAAAAACATATAGCCACCGATAGTGCAGTGTGGGCTGTGCTGTATTTGTAACCCTCTGTAGCTTGCTGTAGCAGGGGAGACAGAGAGAGAGAGAGAGGGGGTCTGGTGGACAGAGTGGTGGGTTGGGGGGCAGAGAGGGGTTAGAGAGGAGGGGTGGGAGAGAGATGCTGGGGGGTGAGAGGGGGTTGGGGCAGGAGTTGGCCAAAGTTGAGGCACGCTTGATTAGTCCTAATCTGGGGGGACTTGGGTTGCCGTGGCCGCAGCGTGTCCGTATGGAAAGCATGCGGGCAGCGGATCAGAGGGATTGACCTCTCCCTCTCAGGTTAACAGAAGCTGTGTGTGTGTGCGTGCGTGTGCGTGCGTATGTGTGCGTGTGTGTGTGTGCATGTGTGTGCATGCATGCTGTGCGTGTGTGTGTGGTGTGTGTGTGAGAGGGGAAGACGGGAAGAGCGAGAGCCACATAGCTCGTTGAACTTGGACTTGGGTGTTAGATTCTGAGAATGTGAGTGTTTGTGTGTGTGAGAGAGAGAGAAGAGGAGGAGAGAAGAGAGAGAGAGAGAGAGAGAGCGAGAGAGACAGAGCGAGTAGGAGAGATAGACAGCTAGAGGAGATAGAGATAAGAGGAGAGAGGAGAGATCTCGAAGAAGAGGAGAGAGACTCAAAGTCGTAAAGAGTCTACAGCAGAATCTAGTGTTTGTCCAGGAGGTCTAGTTGAACTGTGGCTCTGGCTGCGGTGCAGACCTCATGCCTCGTAAAAGCCTCTCTCTACCAGGCAGGCAGTAAACATGGCACCACTCAACTCACAGAGGCAGTTACAAACACCATGTAGCAGCTAATCCCTCACACACACACACACACAGCCTCCTAGTGTGTGTGTGTGTGTGTGTGTGTGTGTGTGTGTGTGTGTGTGTACGTGTGTGCACATATGTGTGGGGACAAAACTTATACTTGCTACCGTCCCTCATGCATGTTTGCTTTGTGTGTTTAGTCTAGTAGTCAGTATTTGCATTACATATGTAAAGGTTTACAAACTGTATTGCAAAGCTTGTCTGAATAAACCCTAAGAGAACTTGTATGTTGTACAGTAGTTGTATTCTTAGTGCTTGCAGGTCACTAGTAAGTGTGTGTGTGTGTGTGTGTGTGTGTGTGTAAGCGTTGAAGTATGTGTGTGTGTGTGTGTGTGTGTGCTGGGGGAGTTTTCAGATCAAACTCACTGTCGTCGGGATCAACTGTGAAGACGTCTGCTGACAGGTGTAACTGGAAAAACAGAGCAGGTGCATCTCTCTCTCGCTCTCTCTCTCTCTCTCTCTCTCACCCAACCCCCTCTCTCTTTCTCTCTCTCTCCTCCTCTCTCCCCTCTTTCTCTTCTGTTTATCTCTCTCTTCCTCTCTCCCACCCCCCCCCCCCTTCTCTCCCTCCCCCGCCTATCCTCTCTCTCTGCTCGCTCTCCCTCCCCCCCTCTCTCTCTCTCTCTCTCTCCATTCGCCCTCCCTGCCCATCCTCTCTCCTCTCTCGTCTCTCCTACCTCCCCACGCCTCCCCTCCTTCCTGCCACTCTCTCTCTCTCTCATCTCTTCCTCTCCAACCCCCTCTCTCCCTCTCTCCCGCCACCCAACCCCGCCCCCTCCTCCATTCTTCTCCCCACCCCCCTCTCTCTCTTTTCTCTCTCTTCTCCTCTCCTCTCTCTATCTCTCTCGCCCAACCCCCTCTCTCCCCTCTCTCTCTCACCCAACCCCCCTCTCTCTCTCCCCCGCTCCCTCTCTCTCTCTCTTTTTCTTTCTCTCTGTCTTGCATTCACACTCTCATCTTCTCCACGCACGCACACACACACGCACACACACACCCACACACAGACACTCTCCCTCCCTCTGTGTGTGGTCCCCTAGAGAGGTCATCAGTCAGCAAGGCTATTTTTCTCCTCATTTTATTTTCAATCACAGGCTACATCACAACATGGGCCAACCAATCACAGGCTACATCACAACATGGGCCAACCAATCACAGGCTACATCACAACATGGGCCAACCAATCACAGGCTACATCACAACATGGGCCAACCAATCACAGGCTACATCACAACATGGGCCAACCAATCACAGGCTACATCACAACATGGGCCAACCACCAATCACACGCTAAATCATAGCATGGGCCAACCAATCACAGGCTACATCATAACATGGGCCAACCAATCATAGGCTACATCATAACATGGGCCAACCAATCACCCACACAAAGCTATAACAACAACATGACACCTGACAATTGGGAGCTCCCTCATCTGTCTCCCTCCTCACACCCCTTACCCTTACTCCCCCCCCCCCCCCCCCCCCGACCCCCAACCCTTCCCCTCCTCACCCCTCCTCACCCTTTCCCCAGGGCTGTGGTGCTATATGTATTTTCCAGACCAAAACAGAATGCATGACATCACATTTGACAAATGCTTTTTAGATCTATATCTCTAGTTCTAAATGTCTGCGGTAGGATTCATGCTCTATCTGAGAGTCATATTCTATCTTAGAGCGACTCAGCTTTCCTCTAAATGGCAGTTCGTTGGTTTCAGTTTCTTAAAATATGGTTGCATTGCTCAACCCATGGGAAATGTGCCTCAGTGAACATAACTTTGTGTCAGTTGACCCAGTGTTGTGTATCTGCCAACTCTCAACCCTCAACTGAAGTGGTGTTACAAGCAAAAAATAGGACAGTCAGTTGTATACAGTATTTGTACAGTACTGTATTACATGAAAAATACCTTTATTTTCATCTCTATGGTAATTGAGAGGTAGAGGGTTAGAGAGTCAACAGCTACAGAGAAGTTACAGTCAGACGGTGCGGTGGCAAGGCGCCGGTGAGACATAATGAAAGCACTATAGAAGTTGAATAAATTATTATTAGTAGTAGTGTATACTTTGGGACACATATTGCCCATACTGTATTGACATAAATAAATATATATACAGTATGTCAGTTTACTATACATTTATTGTGTCCGTGATCCATCAAAAAATAAAATAATGAAGCACCCTTGATCTATTCTTGCCTAAAATATACCTAAAGGTTTCTAAGCATAAATACATTTCAGATAATTTTTTAAGAAAACATTTTTACTTTATATAATGCAATAAAAAACATCTATTGCCACTTTTACAGTGATCATTCACTTTCAACAATACTAAGCCGATTCAGTAGGAAAAACATTGTCATGGCAACGTCTGAGCCCTTTTTTCAATGATTCCATTTTTAGTTCAAGCACCTGGATGTTTGATTTCTGAACCGATGACCAACCTGCTCCCTCTCTCATCTCCTCACTGGAAGTTGAAGGGAAAGATGGTGGGAACAACTGATCATCCCTCCATTTCTCTGGACAGTGGAAACCCAGTGCTTATACAGTCTGACAGAGGGCACTCGTTCCCTCTCTCCCATCTCCATTCATCACAGCCCCCTCTCCTTATGAGAAGAACTGCAAAGGGCTATATCCCATCTGTTTGACTATATTTCTTCATTTCTTCATCCCTTGTTCTTTCTCTCTCTTTTTCCTCCTGCATTTCAGACAGGGGTCTGGGTGGAACATATGAGACTGGGTGTGGAGGGGGATGGAGTCTGTTCCTGTTGCTGTTCCTGGGATTGTGATGGTTCAGGTCTGTGGTGTGAGGAGGACTGTGTCTGAGTGTGTGTGTCCAGCGCCACAGAGTTCTCTGCCTCCTCTTCCGTGTCTTTCACAGAATCTGAGGGTTTGTGTGAATGTGAATGTGTGTGTGGGTGCACCTTGACCTCTGTCTCTTTCTCTGTCACAAGGTGAGGTGGGGTGTACTCTGAGTGATGGTGCTTTGAGTGGCCCCCGTGGGGGTCGACACCCCCGGGCAATTTTGGGGGGCAGCGGCCCCTCTTGTCCTGCCCCCTGAACCCTCTCAGTTTGGGGTTCCAGTGCTCCCTCCACTGGAGAGCCAGTGTGGATCTATCGGCGACCAGCCGTCTCTCCTCTGGGCCCCAGTTCCGCCCCCGCCCCTCGGCCCCGATCAGCAGGAAGGTGCGGCCCACCTGGAGGGCGGGGCAGCCGCAGCCCAGGTCACGGTCGGGAACCCACAGTGCCTGAGGGCCCCTGCGAACACGGGAGGAAGACCCCGTACGGAACACGGTCTGGATCCAGACGGAGAACTGCCACCAGGGGCCTGAACGCTCCATCCCTCTGACCTGTAGCTTCAGGACTGGGGGAGAGAGAGAGAGAGAGAGAGAGAGAGAGAGAGAGAGAGAGAGAGAGCTAGAGAGGGGGAGATGTCGAGAGTAGAGCGAGCTCAGAGAGATATCAGGAGAGAGATACTGTGCTTCCTTTCTCCATTGTATTCTGCAGTCATGCCAAAGTCATTGTACTTTACAGGTCTTACCAAAGTCCTTTAGACAGTACGTCTCCAGGTTCATCCTCACTTTAACCAGCGATGGCTGGCAATACGATACACACTCTTCATCTGAGAGAGAGAGAGCGGGGGGAGGTTGAGGGGGACAAGAGAACGAGTGGGAGAGAAAGGGAGAGAGAGAGGGAGAGAGAGAGAGAATGTATTGAATGAGAGAGAGCATCTCACAGCGACACATGTCTGTACCACTAATTACAATATGCCCTGCTTCTATTTGTCATCACAGTATCTTATGTCTAACAGATGCCTCTCTTGAGTCCGGCAATAGGTTAAACACCCCCCTATCACCACTAGAGGGAGCTAGACAGCTACCAGTCCAGTAGATTACAACAGCTGAGACTCACAGAAGGTACAGCGTCTATCAAATTGTGAAGTTATCAGTCACCAACTCTAGACCAGAAGAGTTACAGTTATTTTGTTCTAAAATGCTTGAATCAGTTAATTCATCACTGATCAGGATTTTGATCAGGTGTGAAAGTGCTGGGCTGAAACAAAAGCCTGTGCACCCTGTAACTCCCCAGGTCCAGGGTTGCGGACCACTGAAATTGTGGCCGAATATTACAGTTCAACATAGAAGATAGTGTTGAGACTTGCAATAGTGTTTTCATTCTCAATCCAAACTCTGCTCACCTATGCTGTACTGGGGCTGGTACACAGGTGTGGTGGGGGCTGTCACCTCCTGGATTCCTTATGGATAAAAACAAACACATCACATTTACATTTTAGCAGACGCTCTTATCCAGAGCGACTTATAGTTAGTGAGTGCATACATTATTTTTTTTTTTTATTCATACTGGCCCCCCATGGGAATCGAACCCACAACCCTGGCGTTGCAAATGCCATTCTCTACCAACTGAGCTACATCCCTGCCGGCCATTCCCTCCCCTACACTGGACATCTTGTGCGCCCCCCCATGGGTCTCCCGGTCGCGGCCGGCTACGACAGAGCCTGGATTCGAACCAGGATCTCTAGTGCCTTAGACCACTGCGCCACTCGGGAGGACATGTTGTATGTCATATAGAGGTGAAAGTTGAGAATAGACAGGGACAGGGTGTGAATACAATGCCTTTTAACTTGAACCTGCTTATACAGACATGTCTTTGTGTACTATAAGTGACAGGTTGTGTGTGTGTGTCGAATGGGAGAGAATGTGAATATGTGTGCTATGCGTGAATGCCTGTCGGTGCATGTGGAATTCCCATGTGGAAGATGAGTGTGTGTCAGGATGATTTGGTGTGTGTGTGGTCCTCAAAGAGTCAGAAATCCACCCCTGTGACTAGCCACACACACAAACACACAAACTCACTCTGGAGCAAAATGGGTTTTTCAGAGTTTTTGTCTCTGGCTAACATTACCCATAAAGATGCATCAGAGTATAGTCATACCACAGGTCTGTCTCTCTGGTTGTCTGTCTGTCTAATGTCACCTTTATGACCCTAGAAGTGAAAGTCTACCACATGTACACCTGGACTAAACATATTTTACCCTTACGTGTTTGTGTGCTTGACTGCATGTGTGTCCCTGTGTGTGGGTGCACTTGCTGGGCTATCCATATATTATCCTGGCTTTAAGTACGTGTGTGTGTGGCTTCGGGGGCCGACCATATATTACCCTGTCCCTCACTCTGTCCTGTGTCCCTGTCCTCTCTGACACAACTGGGCCAGTCAATGACACCCCTACAACCCCAATCCGCAGCTGAACTGGGTAGGAGCCCCCCCCCCCCCCCCCCCCCCCCCCAAAAGCCATGCAGGAGAGTGGAGGGTGGAGGATGAGTGTGTCAGAGTTAGAGTTAGTTCTGAACTGGGGTTGGGATTAATCATATTGTGGGTTGGCACATGCACGTGCGTGCGTGCGTATGCTCACATACTCAAGGACAAGCAAAGGTGGTCGAAGTTGCACTGACCTGGGGATGAACTCCTAGAACCTTCCCTTGTTTTCCTGTGCCCGCATTTTTTTCAGCTTTGATTTTTTGTTTTGTTGTTCATACCTCTTTTTTTTTTTTTTCCTACTTTTTTTTTTTTCCTCCTCATCTGAGACCTTTTTTTGTCACCAGTCACCTCACCTTTCCTCCACGTTCTTTTCCCCTTCCCCCGTTTGTTTTTTCCCCCCCTCCCCTTTTTTCACTACCGGCCAAGGGATACTCCCCCCCCCACCATCTCCTCCCCCTTCTCCTTATAACAGCCTGCTCATTTTCCGAGATGACTTTAGCTTTAAGGGGCGAGTTTAGCTTCCTTGTGGCTGAGGAGGTCTCATCAACTTGGCTTTTGGTGGACGAGGGAGAGAGATAGATGAGATAGATATAGGAGAGCGAGACGATGATGATGACGATAACCTCGCGTCAAGTAGCTAGATCTGTCCATTCTTCAATGATATCATGATGACAAGGGTTGGTAAAATCTCTAGAGAGAGAGCATAGATAATCCATAAGATGGGGTTCAGCCGTAGTAAAAACACAAAAAAACAAACACGGTTTTTCTTAATCTTCTATTCCAACTCCTGCTTCTTTTCTACTCCATTATTTCTTTATTCCCTGTTCCCTTCCTTCCCCTCCTTTCACTTTCACTCACACCTTCCTTTCACCTTTCACATGAAGAGTTATGATCGAGGGGGGAGGGGGGAGCGCTTGAGGGGCGCGCGACAGGTGCGAAGCCCAGACCCATGTCACCTGATTAGGGCTTAGAAAGTGTCGCTGCCCGGGCCAATCCATGTTGTGGTTGTTGCATCCCGCGATTAGACCGAACACACATGATTAAGGTTCAAAAGCAAAGGCCACGACGGCAGGAGTGTAGAGGAATTCAAGTGTGTTAAATCCCAGTCCGAGCTGATCTAGGAATCAGTGAAGATAAGGCCTGCTCATATAGGCCTTAAGCGCTCCCTAGATTAGCACTGTTGTGGAAACAGTAAAACTAACATTGTTGGAAATTAGAGGAGGGAGGACCCAGGGCGATTTGGACAAATTAATACAGATTTTTGTCAGCCGAGGGTGGCTCCTTTTGTACAGGTTTGATAAAGGCTTTGATTAAAAAACAAATGTTGAGAGAGAGAGAGAGAGAGAGAGAGAGAGAGAGAGAGAGAGAGAGAGAGAGAGAGAGAGATGCCTCTCTCCTCTCTCTCTCTTCTCTCTCTCCTCTCCCGTCTATGTTTTTCCTCTCCCTATTTCATTGCTTTTCAGTCACATCACTAGTGTACCATGCGCTTCCTTTGCTACTTGGCAACCACAACCCAGGGCCGTAAGACCTAGACTCAAGTGACTATGAAATTCTGTAGTTGGGCTTAGTTGGCCAGTCCACATAAACCAAAAACTATGCAGTAACACGTGTCACATTTTGGTTCCAAAGCTCCAGGACAATCACATTCTTTCAAGAATCCCCATTAGAAACATATTGTCTGGCCCTACATGGAGGCCAGTTTCCAGACAGACTATGGTAGTACAAAATTTGACTTCACTGATGCATTTCCTTATTTGTTAGGCTCCCCTGTTTGTCGCCAGGGCCAGGCGTTGCACTTCAGTCCGTTTACCACCCCACCCCACCCGACACAAACACTGTCCTGATGTCCTGTTTACAAACACCCCAGCGACCCACCCCCATAGGGTGACAACATGACACAACGAGAGAGCGAGAGGATGAAGGATTGTAGGGAAAGAAATGATGAATGCTAATCGACAAAAAAACTAGAACAAGCATTTGCATATTTTGTAACATTGGGGCTCCTTTTCATTCATGCTAATCATAGGATGCTAATCAGGCTTTGAAATTTGAGCTAGAGAGAGAGAGAGAGAGAGAGAGAGAGAGAGGAGAGAGGCTTCTAGATATCGATGCAGAGAGCTCTAGAGAGAGAGAGAGCTATCTCTATATTTTTTGATCGCTATATATCTCGCTCGCTCTAGCGAGCGCTCGTTGCCCTTCCTTTCCTTTACGTATCCCCTACCTATTTTTTTCCCCTCCCTTTCCCCCTTTGTTTTCCTTTTCCTTCCTTTTTCTTTATCCGTCCCCTGGTCATCCATCCACCAAAAGCCGTTAAGAATATGATGAAAGCCCTCTAGACATTCACATTCTAGCTAGCTCTCTTATCACTATCCTCCATCTATCTTCTCTCTGCCATTTGCCACAGATTTCAATATGACATAATAAGCAAGTGTGCTTATAGCAGTAGAGGATACAATGAATGCCTAACTACACACTTTAAAAAGAGAGCTAGAGAGAGATAAAGAGATATAGAAAGAGATATAGAATATAGAAGAGAGAATAGAGAGGAGATTAGATAGATAGATTACACCCCTCTCTCTCTCTTCTCCTCCTCTTTCTCGCTCGTGTCCCCCTTCCTCTCTCTCTCTCTCTCGTCTCTCCCTGCCCAGCCGCCTCTTCTCTCTCTCCTCTCCTCTCTCTCTCTCTCTCTCCGTCTCTCTCATCTCTCTCTCTCTCTTCTCTCTCTCCCATCTCTCTCGCGCTAGAGCGCTATCTAGTTGCGGTTGAGTTGGGATTATACAAAGGGCACAGAGAAAGAGGAAGCCATTCTTTAGTAGGTCTGTTTTTCCTCCAGTAAGGTAGTTTATACAAACCCTTACAGCTACTCCAAACACCTTTAAATAATTAGCTTTACAGGCAAGTCACTAAGGTGTAAATCACTAGGCTTGGAAAAAGGTTGACTTGACCTGAACATTGATCAAATAAACATGGTTGATTTGTCTATCATTGATTATTAAATCACATATTATTATGACAAATAAATAGCACTAATAGAACTGAGATAAGTTACATCGCTATAGCCTATAAATATCTATAGCTTTGGGTGCCAGTCTGTTTCTGCTCCATTCTCAACTCCTTGTAACGCCAAACATGGCATGACAATACCATAGAGCGATTCCTCACGAAATCAAGACAAAACAATTACATGATTTGGGGGTTTTCACGAAATGTAATCCATAGAATGGTCCTTTGGAGGAAGGCTTGTTGACATATATTTAACATTTCTATCTAAAAGCATACTTGAGAAATCTGGGGTGGATTGAGAATGGAGCAGAAGACACATTTCAGTTGTTCTGTGTAACTAATGGACAATAAAGTTGTTTTGTATTGTATATTTATGGCATTTTGGCCTTACCCAGGCCTCCTTTAGGACTCCATAATGTTTAATCTGTAGGTGCTACAAAGCAAAACATTGTGTCATATGAAGCTTTACCACTTGCTCTGTAATATGAGTAGTATTTTGATTTCAATAAAAAAATACATGAATTTATGAATATTGAAAAATATAACATGAATATTGAAAAAACAAATATTTTGACTTGGCACATTTCTCAATATATTGTTGAACATAATATACTCTGAGGGCATATCAAAGTTCCAGAGTGGGATCTCTGCTAGTGTTAAAGTTATGGCCCATTTTATACAGAGAAATTGGCATAGTAGGCAATGTAACCAATCACAGCCCAAATTTTTACTTGAATCATTGCACATCCTGCAAATCACCAGCAGAGGGCGACCATTTTGAATCCATTTTCACATTCCCGCTGTTGGTAATGCTTACAAATTGGATCTTACCTCTAAAAGTAGCAGAGATCCCACTCTGGAACTTTGATACAGTTGAAGTCGGAAGTGTACATACACCTTAGCCAAATACATTTAAACTCAGTTTCCTCCTGACAGAGCTGGTGTAACTGAGTCAGGTTTGTAGGCCTCCTTGCTAGCACATGCTTTTTCAGTTCTGCCCACAAATGTTCAATAGGATTGAGGTCAGCGCTTTGTGATGGCCACTCCAATACCTTGACTTTGTTGTCCTTAAGCCATTTTGCCACAACTTTGGAAGTATGCTTGGGGTCATTGTCCATTTGGAAGACCCATTTGCGACCAAGCTTTAACTTCCTGACTGATGTCTTGAGATGTTGCTTCAATATATCCACATAATTTTCCTTCCTCATGATGCCATCTATTTTGTGAAGTGCACCAGTCCCTCCTGCAGCATGATGCTGCCACCCCCATGCTTCCCGGTCAGGATGGTGTTCTTCGGCTTGCAAGCATTCCCCTTTTTCCTCCAAACATAACGATGGTCATTATGGCCAAACAGTTCTATGTTTGTTTCATCAGACCAGAGGACATTTCTCCAAAAAGTACGATCTTTGTCCCCATGTGCAGTTGCAAACCGTAGTCTGGCTTTTTTATGGCGGTTTTGGAGCAGTGGCTTCTTCCTTGCTGAGTGGCCTTTCAGGTTATGTCGATATAGGACTCGTTTTACTGTGGATATAGATACTTTTGTACCTGTTTCCTCCAGCATCTTCACAAGGTCCTTTGCTGTTGTTCTGGGATTGATTTGCAATTTTCGCACCAAAGTACGTTCATCTCTAGGAGACAGAACACGTCTCCTTCCTGAGCGGTATGACGGCTGCATGGTCCCATAGTGTTTATACTTGCGTACTATTGTTTGTACAGATGAACGTGGTGCCTTCAGGCGTTTGGAAATTGCTCCCAAGGATGAACCAGACTTGTGGAGGTCTACAATTTTTTTCTGAGGTCTTGGCTGATTTCTTTTGATTTTCCCATGATGTCAAGCAAAGAGGCACAGAGTTTGAAGGTAGGCCTTGAAATACATCCACAGGTACACCTCCAATTGACTCAAATGATGTCAATTAGCCTATCAGACACTTCTAAAGCCATGACATCATTTTCTGGAATTTTCCAAGCTGTTTAAAGGCACTGTCAACTTAGTATATGTAAACTTCTGACCCACTGGAATTGTGATACAGTGAATTATAAGTGAAATAATCTGTCTGTAAACAATTGTTGGAAAAATGACCTGTGTCATGCACAAAGTAGATATCCCAACCGACTTTCCAAAACTATAGTTTGTTAACAAGAAATGAGTGGAGTGGTTGAAAAACAAGTTTTAATGACTCCAACCTAAGTGTATGTAAACTTCCGACTTCAACTGTATGTCCGTAGAGTATATTATGTTCAACAATATATTGAGCAATTTGCCAAATCTAAAATGGTATATTTTCAATATTCATGTTTATATTTTTCAATATTCCTAAATTAATGTTTTTTTAAAAAATGCTATTGAAATAAGAATGCTACTCCTATTACAGAGCAAGCTGTAAAGCCTATATGACAATGTTTCATGCTTTGTAGCATCTACAGATGAAACATTATGGAGTCTTGAAGGAGGTCTGGGTAAGGCCAACATTTCATAAATATGCCAACTTTGAATAATTATTTCTCAATCATGCTTTTAGATACAAATGTGAAATATATGTCAACAAGCCTTCCTCCAAAGGACCATTCTATGGATACAATTTCGTGAAATGTAAAAAAAAATCATGGTCTTTTTTTGTCCTGGTTTCGTGAGGAATCACTCCGTAAGGAGTTGGCCAGAGCTGAAACAGACTAGAATCCAGGCTAAAATATCCAGCTCAAGTTCTCCAATATTGCTTTAACTAAAAACCCCTTGCACTTGTACAACACACACTCAATCACACACACACCTGCATGTGTCGTGTGCATGACCTAACCACACACCATTAACAGTGGTTATATTAGGACTTAGGTCAACCGCCCAATGAGCATGCCAGAGTGTCACAGTCACTTGGGACATGTGACCAGTCAAAGGTCAAAAGTCAGTATGGATTCTAGCCAGTGGTAACAACATAGACACTAGATCCAGTCAAGCATAAAGGGTATGTTTGTAACCCTAACAGGAATAACTGTCCTATGTCACAATGTAACCACCTCATAAACACTGAGGAGGCTGGAACACAGACACATGTAGACAAACCCTTTAGACTGGCAGATACACAAAGAGAAACAGATATCCTAACAGATGCATATGCACACACACTTGGACACACACACACGTCTGCATGGATAAGATACACAGCTGGTCAGTGCGACCTAATACAGACACCTTTATTGCTCACGCACACACACACGCACACACACACACACACACACACTCTCTCTCTCTCTCTCTCTCTCTCTCTCTCTCTCTCTCTCTCTCTCTCTCTCTCTCTCTCTCTCTCTCTCTCTCTCTCTCTCTTTCTCTCTCTCCCTCTCTCTGACTGACATTGGCAGGCCTTGTGGTGGTTGGGGAGCTTGCCGTGGTCGCGGGCGTATCCGTTCTGACAGTACTGGCAGTGGCGTCCTGCTGTATGATGCCGACACTTCAGACACAACCCCCCGCTGCGCCGGCCCGACTGTTGGAACACCTCCATGCTGAACCGACACTTAGAGGAGTGGCCGTTACACTCACATGCTGGGGGTAGGAGAGAGGGTGGGGGGGTGGGGGGGGGGGGGGGGGGGGAGTGAATGAATTTCAGTAAAGGTAGTAAAGTTTACATCCATGATCCAATATGCACTCATTACACACAGACATGCATGCACACATGCAGACGCACAAACAAACACACAGTAATGGGGGGGGTGTGACTCACGGACGCACGGGTGTGGCTGACTGGGCGTGGCTCGTTGCCAGGGCCTGTCATAGTAGAAGTCCTCACATACGTCGCAGTCTGCCCCCGCTGTGTGGTGCTCACACACACACACCGCCCGTCCCGTGTCATCATGACGACACCGCGAGGCATGCCCGTTACACTTACACCTGCCACCCACCTGCAGGTCCGAGAGGGCCAGGGGGGGCCTGACAGGGGGGGCGGAGATCAGTGGGGAGGGAGGAGCTAGCTGGAGATTCTGATTCGCTCTCGCTTTGGAGTTCCGATTGTTGTTTCTCCTCCTCCTCAGTTCCCGCCTCTTATTGTCCCGCCCCTGGCCCTCGATTGTCCAATCACAGACGCCGCCTTCCTGGCACGGACTCCAATGGTGGCCCCCCTCCCTTTTGCGGCCACGCCCTTTTCCTTTACCGTTCCCTCTCTTGGAGGTGTCCATTTCCTGAGTGTCTCGTTCTAAATCCTTCCGGGTCACATTGTGTCCGTCCTCTCCCTGACCCCCCGACCCTTTATTGTGACCCCTCCGCCCGGATTTGTCCATTTTCTCTCCTCTGCTCCTCCCTTGTTTTTCTGTCTTTTTCATATCCTTTTCCACAAACCCCCAAGCGTTGTTGTCCCCATTCACCTGACCCACCACAGCTTCATTCTTCGACCCCACCCTCCACCTCAGAACCCCACTACCTGCTCCCAATCCCTCACCCACCCCCCTATCCTCCGAACTCCCCAACTTGGTCTGCTGGAACTGGGTCATCTGGTGGAAGACCACCCGTATGTCCGTGGCCGTCACCCAGTCCTGCAGGGTGGGGCTGTAGTCAAAGTCTGGGGAGGAGGGCCTTCCATCCAGGGTGGAGAAGGCCAGCACCATGCCACCCCGGTGCCTCTGCAGGGGCCGGGGATCTGAGCATAGAGGCTCTGTCTCCTGGTGTCTGGTCTGGGCCACCGTCTGGGCCTGGAGCCCAAACCTCCCGAGGCAGTCGCTGGAGTAATGCTGCATGGGCCTCCAGGTGCGCCCGTGGTCCATGGATTTGAGCACAGAGATGGAGACCGGATCCGACGGCTCCCCCTGCTGGCAGAACTGCAGGCTGATGTAGGTGACCTCGAAGCGCCGGCCCAGGGGGAGGGTGAGAACCCAGTCCCCATCGTCGGGGCCTCCCACCTGGGCTGTCCAGCAGGTCAGGTTGTAAGGGTTGTGGAGGTCCGTGAGGGAGCTGACATTAACAGCATTTTGGTCAGGAGGTCCTCGGAGGGAGTGGGCGGCACTGACAGGGACACCGTAGGCGGCATTGATGAATTCCGACAGGCAGTGTCGCGGACGCCCATCCAGGTGGTAGCAGGGGTCATGGGGAGAAGTCCAGCTCAGAGGGGAGTGAGAGAGTGAACGGGAAAGGAGGGAAGAAGGGAGGAAAGTGAGGAGAAGTAGGAGAAAAGGGAGGGAGAAAGAGGGGGGAGGGGAGACGGGCAGGAACATCATGTCATCGAGCCTGTGGGAGAACATTCAAAAAGAAAATATTTTAGGGGATAAAGCGACGGGGTGAATCATAAAAGGAAAAGATACTGACGGATTTATATGACTTGTGGTTGGAGCCAAAGGGAGGGGCCTTCTGAGGTAGAGAGACCACCTGTGCCTTTATTAAAAACACACCAGTTCGCGCCACCACCTTGAACATTTAACATCCCTCACATAATCCAACCAAATCTACCTCCTCCCTTAACCAGGCCTCTTTCTGTGAGTTTTGGATGATTGTATGGATGAGATGGATGAGAGCGTATAGAAAACTAGCAGGTCTGTCCTTGATGACAAAAAACAGCTGGGTCTGAAAACACAAGCTGGGCAGCATCCATCATCTTTATGGTCCTCCTTTCAAATCCTTCTACCGCCGCTCTGCTCCACTCCGCTCTATTCAACGCACAAGGGCAAGAACCCGAGTTTTCGAGAACCGAATGTGTGGAGAGAAATGGAAGGAGAGAGAGAGGATGTGAGAAAGAAAGAGCTTAGAGTGGAAGAGAACGCGAGAACTGCGTGTTCGGCTTAAAGCCCCTGTACAGTCACTTCCTGTGAGAAGACAAACACACTTATGTACGTCCACGGTGTGAACAGATTTCCTTCCCTCGTAAGACGGCTGGTGATGTACTAAATATATTAGTCTGTCAAGAATTGATAGTGATACCAGAGAAGGTTACTTCATTTACGCCTGCAGACATGTGCGAACAATGCGTCTAATTTTCTTGACAACATGATCTACGACAACAAACTTAGCGGTTTTATATGAGCTCACACGGATGGGTCGAGCGAGCAAGGATCCCACCCAACACTTCACTTCACACCAAGCAACTTATAAAGACACACATTGTTAGGATCCATCTCTTCTCCAGGCCCTCCTCTCTCTTTCTCTGTAAATGTCTGTCTACTATGCAGTTCTTCTCTCTCTCCTTCTATCCTCCCCTTTCGCTCTCTCTCTCTATCACCTGCCCCCTTCGTTCTGTTCTGGGAATATCTCTAACTGTGTCTAGATTGATGATGTCCTAACAAGCGTTTGACACTGACAGCACAGTCAGCAGGCCTGTATAAACCAACCCCGTAGGAGAGGAGAGAGGAGAGGAGAAGAGTTGGGAGCCTCCCAGGGCTAGTCATCCCACTCAATTAGACCACAGCCCGAAACTTGAGGCTTCCCTTAGGACCACAGCACTATAAATGGGTCTGGGGGGGTTACAATGAGTGTCGGCAACTAAAACAACCTATATTACTCAACTGACCCCCCAAAATGAGTAATGATTCCCCTGTGCCTCAAAAGTGGACCGTCCTTACCTAGCTCTGTGGGATCGGGCAGATGAGGCGTATCAGGCGTATGTTTTGGGGTGTCGTTATTGGAAACGCCACGGCCGGCGGCTGAGGTGACGAGCGGTCCGACTGCGGCCCCTGTCCCGCCGCACCGCATTCCAGAGGTCCGGTGTGCGCCCCCTGAGAATTCCACACGTGTTGCGACATATCCAGCTGGGAACCCGAACGGCCCGCTAAAAACTGAGCCTCATTAATTGATCGGCGTCAGGGTTTCGCGGGAGGGGGAGGGGGTGTCTGGTAGGTACTGTATAGTCAGGGCTAGGGGGAAGGGACGGTATATACAGGGGTTCCCAAACTTTTTTGCTTCGTGACCCACCAATTGAGGTGCCTTTTGAGTCGCAACCCACCATAAGGGTTGATTTTTGAAAAAACATACACAGACCAAAGAATAAGTCAAAAATATCATCTTGGCAGTGGAGATACATTTTTTAGTTTTAAAGCTATTTTCCTGCAATTCTATACACCATGGAGCTGAGCATTTTTGTATCCGTTTTTAAGCTAATTTACTGCAATTCTAGGCATTGTGACATGGCTAATGCTGTGTTCTTATGCTCAAACATTATAACAAAATCAATGGGGACCTGACTGTCTAGCTTATATTTTGTTGTTTAAAGTTCTCGAAGATTATAGGCATATTTTAAAATATATAGGTCCATTATTGTTTCTACATACTTTATATTTGGTTTAAATCATTTAAGTTTACACTGAAAGAGTTTTTCCATCCCAAAAAAGTTTATATTTTTTAAATAATACAAGAAAAATGTAATCCATCCACCGCGGGTTCCGACCCACAGTTTGGGAACCACATGTATATAATGAGGGTAAAGTGAGGGTTAGGGGAATTCATGGAAGGGGGTTGTGAGGTGAAGGGGGGGATGTCGGAAATTCAGACAAGATGTGGTTGGTGGGTAAGGGGGATAAGAGGGGTAAGGATACAGGCCAAGGCGCTGGGGGGGTTGCTTGCCATTCCCCATGGCGCGATTTGCACTTGTCTCAGTCGCTAATTTAACATACTGTAGCCCCAATTACAAACTACATGATAGATGGAAGCTCTTCAGAGAAGACCACAGGGCTCTTTAAAGTGCTACTCACCGCCAACCGTTCCCCCAGGCCAAATGCAGACCCCCGCTCCGAAACCAGATCACCAGTCTGGCACCAGGGATGTAACCCAGCCACCGGATACCGTTTCAACGGTTTTTCTCCGTTGCTTTCCATAAATTCACACGCCTGGCATGCCGTAAGAACATGGTGGATGAGTGGCATTCCTATTTAATCGACCCCCTTCAGTTTTAAAGACAAGAAGAAGAGAGGAAGAACACTCATATCCCTCATACTGGACAACATATATACGCATATCCATCCACTACAATAACCTTTAATGGAGAATCACAGGAATAACGGTTTTCCATACTATCTTTGCGCATCACATACAGTGCCTTCAGAAAGTATTCATACCCCTTGACTTATTCCACATTTTGTTGTGTTACAGCCTGAATTCAAAACAGATTAAATTGATTTTTTCTCTCACCCATCAACACACAATATCCCATAATGACAAAGTGAAAACATGTTTTTAGAAATGTAAGCTAATGTATTGAAAATGAAATACAGAAATACCTTATTTACATAAGTATTCACACCCCTTTGGCAGCATTTACAGCTGAGAGTCTTTCTGGGTAAGTCTCTAAGAGCTTTGCACACCTGGATTGTACAGTATTTTCACATTATTCTTTTTAAAAATGTTCAAGCTCTGTCAAGTTGGTTGTTGATCAATGCTAGACAGCCATTTTCAAGTCTTGCCATAGATTTTCATGCCGATTTAAGTCACAACTGTAATTAGGCCACTCAGGAACAGTTGATGTCATCTTGGTAAGCAACTATATTTGGCCTTGTGTTTTAGGTTATTGTTCGAGATTATTAATCGAGAATTTCAACAAGCATTTTGCTACAGCTGGCCATGCTTTCCATCTGGCTACCACTAACCCGGCCACCAACTCTGCACCCTCTGCTGCAACTTGCCCATGCCCCCCCGCTTCTCCTTCACACAAATTCAGACAGCTGATGTTTTGAAAGCGCTGCAAAATCTGGACCCCTACAAATCAGCTGGGCTAGACAATCTGGACCCTTTCTTTCTAAAACTAGCCGCCGAAATTGTCGCAACCCCTATTACTAGTCTGTTCAACCTCTCTTTCATAACGTCTGAGATCCCCAGAGATTGGAAAGCTGCCGCGGTCATCCCCCTCTTCAAAGGGGGTGACACTCTAGATCCAAACTGCTACAGACCTATATCCATCCTGCCCTGCCTTTCGAAAGTATTCGAAAGCCAAGTTAACAAACAGATCATCGACCATTTCGAATACCACCGTACCTTCTCCGCTATGCAATCCGGTTTCCGAGCTGGTCACGGGTGCACTTCAGCCACGCTCAAGGTCCTAAACGATATTATAACCGCGATTGATAATAGACAGTACTGTGCAGCCGTCTTCATCGACCTGGCCAAGGCTTTCGACTCTGTCAACCACCGCATTCTTATTGGCAGACTAAATAGCCTTGGTTTCTCAAATGACTGCCTCGCCTGGTTCACCAACTACTTCTCAGATAGAGTTCAGTGTGTCAAATCGGAGGGCCTGTTGTCTGGACCTATGGCAGTCTCTATGGGGGTGCCACAGGGTTCAATTCTTGGGCCGACACTTTTCTCCGTGTATATCAATGATGTCGCTCTTGCTGCTGGTGACTCTCAGATCCACCTCTACGCAGACGACACCATTTTGTATACATCTGGCCCTTCATTGGACACTGTGTTAACAAACCTCCAAACGAGCTTCAATGCCATACAACAATCCTTCAGTAGCCTTCAACTGCTCTTAAACACTAGTAAAACTAAATGCATGCTTTTCAATCGAACGCTGCTAGCACCCGCCCACCCGACTAGAATCACCACTCTCGACGGGTCTGACCTAGAGTATGTGGACAACTACAAATATCTAGGTGTCTGGTTAGACTGTAAACTCAACTTCCAGACTCACATAAAGAATCTCCAATCCAAAGTTAAATCTAGAATCGGCTTCCTATTTCGCAACAAAGCCTCCTTCACTCATGCTGCCAAACATGCCCTCGTAAAACTGACTATCCTACCGATCCTTGACTTCGGCGATGTCATTTACAAAATAGCCTCCAATACTCTACTCAGCAAATTGGATGTAGTCTATCACAGTGCCATCCGTTTTGTCTCCAAAGCCCCATACACTACCCACCACTGTGACCTGTACGCTCTTGTTGGCTGGTCCTCACTACATGTTCGTCGTCAAACCCACTGGCTCCAGGCCATCTATAAATCACTGCTAGGCAAATCCCCGCCTTATCTTAGCTCATTGGTCACCATAGCAGCACCCACCCGTAGTCTGCGCTCCAGCAGGTATATCTCACTGGTCATTCCCAAAGCCAACACCTCCTTTGGCCGCCATTCCTTCCAGTTCTCTGCTGCCAATGACTGGAACGAATTGCAAAAATCTCTGAAGCTGGAGACTCTTATCTCCCTCAATAACTTTAAGCATCAGTTGTCAGAGCACCTTACCGATCACTGCACCTGTACACAGCCCATCTGAAATTAGCCCACCCAACTACCTCATCCCTATATTGTTA